GCGCACAGTAAGATTAGCATTTAACACAAGATACGCTTAGGCGAGCTGGTACCGTAATTCCGTTAAACTAATTTTCCTTTTTTTTTTTTTTGCAGATTGCTTTTGGGGTGGAGTTTGAGATATTATTAGTATGCATTCTCTATGATCATGTCCCAGGACGATGTGGGCATCTGGGATAATTATTGGGATTAGCCGAAGTTGTTACACCAGACTTTCGTACGGGAATGGTTTAGTAGGCTGGTTGGAGGATGACACAGGAATGGGCACCGAGCATCCTGATGGCAAGTAATAGTAGAAATCGGGTACCTTGTTCATAATAATAGGACGTGCATTGGCAAGATCAATCGAATTGTTACACACATTGTGTAAAGCTTTGCACGCTGAGATCTCTATTGTTGTGTCGTCCGGCCAAGCGCTCGCTGTTTACCGCTTGAGAGTCGTGCTTTCTTTTCTTGTGCAATAAGCCGAACCAGCAAGGTGAATGAATCCATCTTCTGGTATGTATTATCTCTTTTCTTTGCGATTTGAATAAATGACTTTCAGTTTTATCATCGTTATCAGTTATTATCTGTACTGCCCGTCTTTCAATTAACTCCTTTTTTCAAGTGATGTGACACACATGTATTGTGATAGCACAGATGTCACATTCAAAAAATTTATTGAAGGACGAAGCATATTTGAAATATTTATTTTTGGTTCATAAAGAAGCATTTCTGTATGTTCATATTAATCCTTATGTAAAAACCTCGCGACCGTAAGGAGAGGGACGTTAAGAAGTGAATTGATAAAAAAAAAGCATGTGTTTGTAGGGGGGAAGCCAAAGTTATAATATATAAAAAAAAACTATATACATATGTGTAAAACAGACAAAACGACGAAGAGGAAGTTAAGACGGAAAGAAAAGGGGGGGGAAGGAGGGGGGATTTTATTATAATCTGTGTTAATATGATGGCTCGAAATAAAGAAAGAAGTCATAATTGGGAGAAATTTATATCGAATTTGTTGAAACATAATATATCGAAATCTATACGTAATAACGTCAACAGTATTTTGAACGTCGATTAATCGAACGTTCGTTTATAAGATTTTTTTTTCTTGTTTTTTGGATAACAATCAACAGATAGAGAATACCGAACATCCATTACGCTCATAAAGCTTAACGATATACTGCGATAAAGGCACCTCACCCATATGAGAGAGAAGGGTATGTACATATTGATGTATATAACCATCTCAAATCCTTAAGTTTGTCAAATAAGGCCGATACGGACGAATAAAGTTTTTTTTTTGCCTCGAAAGTATTGATATCGAAATATTATTAATGTCTTTTGTATTGACGACTGATGGAGGCGGTAGATGATGTGATGATTATTAATGATTAAGAGAGGGAGAGTATGTACAATATTAAGATGTGTAGTGTAATGTCTGTTGTCTATAATCTATACAGCGTAATCTTCGTCACTTTGAGATTACTTCTATTTGCCCAATTATTATTTCGATTATTTGGTCGGACGGGGTTAGGGAGAACGTTTGCCGACCGACGGAGAGAGCGAGACAGGTACTCGACGAATATTTCGAATACGATGATCGGGGGGACTTATTTACATATTTACAGTGATCAAGGTATCCGCGTTTTCTTGTTGTTCTTTTTCAAAGGTTGAGAACAGATTGAGTGATTGATTTGATTTGGGCAAAAAAAAAATTAATGTGTCGAGTTTATGAAAAGGTTCATAGCGAAGAGGCCACCTATTTATTAGTTGGAGGGAGTCTCGCCTGAAGAACAATCCGACTGGATGTCAATTTTGCAAGTCTCAGTTGACAGCAGATCAGGTTACAATATGACGCTTTGTTGTGTTGCGTGGCTGAATGTACAAACGTATGGAAAGGCGGGACAAGCATTGTTGTGAATGTGTTAAAGGTTGCAGAAACGAATGGATAAATTTAGTGATCAAATGTTACACTTGCTGCAGATGGACAATAGAGTTTTTTTCTCCTTGATAAGGATGAAATTATGTGGAGATTATGACAGGCTCGCTGCGTCTTATTTAGGATTATTTGCGCCCTTTGTTTCTACAATGATGAATAAGACTCAGCCTCAACAATAATGGAAATAATAATGGGTGTATGTATGTGTGTATTTGTATGTGTGTATGTGTTTATGTGTGTATGTGTGTATATTTAATATGTGTATATTTAGTTATATTCAGTCATATGTATGTTTATGTGTGTATATTTAGTTATATTTACGATGTATCGAGAAAGTTTTACGTCAAATTGCACTAGAGAAGAAACAACTTTTTGACGTTATTGTCAAAAATACAATAGTCGTATTCTGTTTGATGAAACGACTTTGTTTCTAATAAACCTCATGCATGTCTGTTATCGCCATTACTTATACTATTATAGTAATTACATTACAATTGGGAGTGTATGGTTTTTTTCACTATCACTGTCATCACCGTTCTGGGCATTTCCCGCTTATCGTTTTTTCGCTTATCTGATTATTGCCCAAATCCTTTTGATTTTAAGCTTTTGGGCTGATTGTTACCTTTGCATATTTGATGAAATAAAACCTCGCGCTCTCAGTGGATAATGTGATTTTGTTGTTATAAGTTTCTACGCCCAATCGCTATCCTGTAAACAAAAACGCATTAAGACAATAAAATAGTTTTCCCCTATGTTCTACAGACGGGAAGGGTAAAAAAAAAATTTTTTTTTCCTTTCCACCAAAAACTACAATGTGGTTCACTGTTAACCGAAAATGTTTTCAACATGTCTTTAAGTTTATCTTGTGCTTGGGAAATTGATGAAAAGATATTTAACTATATCGGCCTTTGTCGTCATCTGTTTAACTCACTTGGTTCATCAATGGCGGACGGTCGATTGGTCGAACATTGTTTCTGCATGTAGTCAGCTTATAATCTCGCAAAGAATAATCTTTCCTAACATGTGATTGTGCTTTTATTATTATGAATCGGCACATGCCAATCATTATACACATATATACAATAATGATATAATAATCATAATAGTAGCATCAAATGCGCAGTATTTTACCGGGCACTCTTATCCGCTAAACCTAATTAATAAGCACATATAATCATAACAATTATCAAAATCATCACCATCACCACTTCTACCCACCCGCTTAACGTTAATCCGGTAAGATTATCGCATCTCTCCTAACCAAGATGTGTCATTGTGCCTCAAGGTGGCAATACATTGACGGCAAAAACGAACCTTACTTGTCACTTGTATTTCGACTACCTCAAGTCGATCACACGACCTCACCGATTGTCAGATAACACGATTCTTCAATTACTGATTGTTTTTGTAATCAAACACACACGTGAAATTGATTAACAACTTTTGTTGTGGAATTTTTTTTCATACATTTATATCTAAATATTGACCGGTGACGGATTTCAGGGGTTCAGGGCTGTCGATTGTTTACGCTGTATTTATTGCTTCCTTGCATCTTTCTTCACCTCTGAATGGTCTAAATATTTAACTTAATAAAATGACAACATATATTATTTTAGTTAAAAAAAAATGAAAGAAAGAAAAAGATTGGTTAAGCAAGTGCATACATAATATGGTCTTTATTGTTTACTGTGTATATGTAGTCTCTGTGCTTTCCGCTTTTTGCCAATCAAAAATTTGAATTGCATTGATTTATTTATGAGTCTACATTTGTTAATATTAAAGAGCGATCGATCATTACTTAATAACCACAGAGTATGAGGCAATTTGCGAGTCCAGAATGAGTATCACTTAGTGTTTGGTCATACGTTGATGTCGGTACACTAGATTATGTTCAACAATTCTCTGATTTAAATTACAATAAAAACGTAGCATTATGAGTTAGACAGCCAATCGGGTTTACAACAGAATATAACCCTATTTTAGGGGAAAAGTGAAAGAACTATACAATATTGTCCTACAAACTACGACGTCAACATTAATATGTCCATTTTTAACCAATATATAATTCGAAATAACAAAGAAAAGTGTGAAAAAATTCGGATTACTAATTAGACCTTTTTCAACACTCGAGTAAAGGATGCCACCTGAACAATGTTCAACAACAATTAGCAAAAGGACCAAGCCATTAAAGGAAACACAAAATGATAAATTAAGAAACAGCCTTTTTATAAACACAATCTGGTTTTTATCCAATATTATTTTACTGGGTAATTAATCTTTTTTCGGTTAACCATTCGGCGACAATCTGCGTAACAAGGAGAATTAGTTGTATGGAGAATCATTATAATTGTTATGCTTATCTTGTTTTTGTTTCACGCGTGAAACAGCAGAAAAGCTGGGAATTCATGTAAAAAAATTTTTTTCGAGAAAAAGGCAAAATAAAGTAGCAGTAGAGAAGCAACCTAGTAATCATGAAAGTTAGAGCTGTCTTTGTCTAAGTAGCAAAAATAAGAGATGAGACATGACATTAATTGTATCTGACGTATAAACAATAAATGGGTAGGCTGCAACAAAACCAGATTGTTGTTTCACATATGAAACGGTTGTAAATCTCAAAGTCAGGTGGTTGACTTACCAATTGAGCAAAAGTTGCCACAATCCACTTTTAATATCCCCTGACTGTGCTATGTGACCAAGTGTATTGTCTTGTTGGGACGATTAAATCTGGTACTAATAAATGTTTTTTCGAGTAGTTGTATGTATTATACAGTAAATCTATCCATTTTGCCTGGAACGCAACCTCCCATTCTTAGTGCAGTTTTTTGTGCTTTACCCAATATGGTAGCCTTGAGAATCTTGTTTAGAAAAGCACAGAATCTTATTAATTTCGTTTCTCGAAAAACCGTGCTTTATGACGTCGTTTATTTCGGCCAATTCAGAATGTTGAAATACGTGAGTTTGTACATTTGGATTAAATCTCAAAGTAAATGACGCGTAACGCGTGTATGTCAGTATATTCACAAAAATGCTAAGCTACAACAGTCACAACTTATTATGCCGGTTGACATACAATTGAAGCTTTACTTATACCTGTAGTTGATATTTATTTCAAGTGACTGTAAGTGAATTTATGTCCCTGGAGAGCTTGGATGACATACATTTTAAAAGCATATGGAATGTTTCTGATTGTGTTGTAATTTTTGGAGTTTATTATTGATTGTATATATTAATATATAATACTATTATTAAAGAGTTCATCATATTGTAATTTCAAGTCACGTCTTCACAATTATAACGTGGTCTCAATGTGGTATACTTGAGCAGCTGTTGTTATGCCACAAAAAAGTCAAGTGACGTTCCAGT